TTAAAAAATGCAGTTATTTTTCATGATGCACTGTCCAAAGAGTAAAACAAGCCTCAAAAGAAAGAAAGGAAAGAAGGAAGGGAGGAAGGAAGGAAATGAGGGACAAAACCCTGAGTATTTTATTTGCAATTTGTATGCTGTGATAGAATATTGTAACTTACCTATCAGTACATTTAAGAGAATCAGTAAGAAATAGCACATTTAATATTTAAATATATAGTGGGTTTAAGTATATTAATTATACTCGAAAGCATAAAATTGGTTTTTTCTAAGAATTGCTCAAGGATATCTAAATACATGTCATGATTAGTGTATTTTAAACCACTGTGGTTCTTTATGACGTTCTGTTGTTTTTCAACCTAATTGTCAGTGAGATAAATATAGCATTACAGAAAAAGATGCATTAACCAATATATTCAGTGACAAGTATAAACACTCAAACTTTACCAGAATTCAAACAAAACCGTTGCATATTCTCCAAATTAAAGTAACAAAATTTTCCTTCCCCCTACCTGTTTTTTTTTAACTAGCATTTTGTTTTCTCAGCTGTTGAAGGTATGATTTGCTTTTCTGATTTTCTAATTGACTTCTGGAAGAATAGTATTCTAGAGGGTTTTGAGGATTTTATTTGGGCAAAAACAATTGTTTATTGTATACATTGAAAAACTGGTTTTAAAAGAAGACATACTTTTTGTGAAGATTAATGCAAACTTTGGTTTGTTTAATAAAACAACAGTTTTGAGGTATTCCCATACCCAGAACGCTTAAATTTTCGAGATGCAAACCACCGAAACAACAATAGAGAATTCAATGAAGTGTCAAAAAGAAAGTTAATTGGTCTTCATGAAAAACACAAACTTGAATTCAGACAATGAATGAATGGAATGCAGTATCAGCCACGTGCCCATGTTTGGAGTGTCAGTTGATGAGCACCAAGAAGAATGGGCAGCCTTACAGTTCAGCAAGCACAGATGGACTCTAGAAAGATGGATCAGCTTACCAGTTTTCTGATCCTCATATTATCAGCACTCAAAAGCTTCAGTCATGGGGTCATTGTCAGTTCCTAATATTCTGAACTAGTTAAGAAACTCATGGGTTCATGTGGGTCTTGTTACTGCTGTGACCCTTGGGAGCTGCAGGGAGACCTCCTGGCCACAGGGCCACCTGCCTGCATGGAGCTCATTATGCACTTATCCCTCACCCTTCTGTCTTCCTTGGCTGATTCTGACAGCCATCAAATGCCCTCCCAGATGCACTCACTGCCACCCCCATTTCCTTTGTTGACAGCACTACTGGATATTACGCTAAATGTTGGTTTTGTTTATTGTTTAGTCTGTTGATACATGTTCCAGCAACAATTACATTTGACATAACCTATATATTCATTTTTGTTGTTGTTGCCCTTAAAAAGCACATTGTGTTTAGTTTGTGAGGGCTGCCATAACAAAGTGCCACAGACTGGGCAGCTTAAACAGCAGAAATTTATTTTCTAACAGTCTGGAGGCTCCAAGTCTGAGATCAAGATGTTGGCAGAGTTGGTTTCTTCTGAGGCCTCCCTCCTTGGCTTGTAGATGGCTGTCTTTTTCCCTGTGTCTTCATATGGTCTTTCCTGTGTGTCTGTGTCCTAATCTCTTCTTAGAACAACGTGCATGGGTCACTTCAGATTAGGGCCCACCCTGATGTCCTCATTTTAACTTAATTGCCTCTGTAAAGATCCTGTTTCCAAATACAATCACATTCTGAGGTACTGGTGGTTAGGACTTCCCCATATGAATTTTGAGGTGATACAAGGCAGCCCATAACACACATTTTTAAAAGTAGATTTTTGTGGATTGATCACCCCTGCTGTACCTTCCCTACCCCCAGACTTGAGCATCTAGAAGGCAGGAAGTCTATTTCTCTTGCAATCCCCAGAACCTAACAGTGTCCAGCACTTTGCAGCTATTTCATGAACTGTTGCTGCATAAATGCACAAAGGTTGGTAAGAGACATGAAATTGAAAAGTGGCACTATTTCTGACTGCCAGAAGTAGAACCCGGTGAGTAGACTAGAACATGTTCCGATGAGAAGAAGCGGCAGAGAAAATACAGTACATTTAAACCGAGACAGCTTTTGACAGAAAGACAAATGATTGTTGCTTTGGACACCCATTCTCCACATCCAGCTCTGGGAAAGGAATGGAAGTTGAGGCCCTTGCGGAATACCAAAGGTCAGGTCTGAATCATTTGAGAGCAAAGGTAATTAATGATTGTCAATCGATCTTTTCTCTGAAGCTCTTCACTTTAGAGTCTGAAAATACTGCAGGTATAAGAAAGAACAATGTTGTAATGCAGATAGATCGTATTTGTTTCCAGTAATTTACCACTGTTTCTTAAAACTAGCTGTGCTTAAAAAAAATGAAAAGTTTAAATATCTCCTTTAGATACTATGTCTAGGGATATGCTGAGTTCTTAGACACCAGCCAAGCAGGTTTTAAGAGTGTAACTGAGACTCCTCTGTCCCTGCCATTTTTGGCTTAAGGTTCTGACTTTGAAGCAGATTGGAAGACTACCACAAGGCCAAAGTAACGTTCATTTTTCTAAAAGTATACAATGATTATGATTCAAATACTAAAAAATGCCTAATGTGCTAAAAATGCCTAATAGTAAAAAAAAAAATGCCTTCGTCAATGTAACAAATATGAAGTGAGCGATAAAGTTTCCTTAGTCATGTGTGTTTTGCTGTTGGATATTCATGTTCCCAAGTTCTTTGGCAAAAGTTGTTGGCTTTTTTTTTTTTTTTCCTTTAAGCAAATGGACAGTTCTTGGAACAACAGATTGTTAAAATAGGTGTAATAATTTCTGAAAGGCAAGCTATTTTTCCCCTACAAATTAGACTTGGGTGCTTTTAGTATTGATGCTTGGAAGTTAAATGTTAAAGCAGTGTCATTTCGATAAAATGGAATATCCCAGAAAAGCACAAGAACACAGGAATGACAACACTTACCTGACCTTGCTTTTCATTGCTTCCTATGCCTGCAAAGTTCTTGTATGTACTTTTATCAACATTTTTGGTTTCCAGTGTAACTTAATTTCTCACTAATATTTTAAGACTGTACTTAAAATATGATTTTTAAAGTGGCAATATAGAAATGTAATCACTTTATATCCATTTATATGAAGTGAATTTAACAGTAGATTCAAACTTAGGGTGCCCTCAAGTTAAGCCGAAACTGGGCTTTTGTGTGCTGTGACTTTGTTATAAGTCTTGAAAAAAGCTTGTGTATTTGAGATTATTTTGTTTTCTTCACCCATTCCTGGATAAAGGAAATGTCAGAAGTGGCTGCTTGTCCCAAACAAGGCAGATGGTGGAATACTTTCTGAAGGAGCTGGGCAGAGGAGAGGAAATATGTGGAAAAGTAAGGTGGTTGGGGTGGGGGGAACCACGTGGCTCAGAAAGCTAGACCCAGTCCAAAAAGAAAATAGTTCCAGCTCTTGCAGAATGAGCTCTCTTTAAGACCCAAACGTGGGTGGCGGCTGTGGACTGGTGTAATTTTGAGGGAGTGGTGGTAGGCGATTTGCATTCTGGGATAATGTGAGGGCAGCAGGATAGTGGAAGGAACTGAAGTTTAGAATCTGGAAACCTAGTGTGAGTTTCAGTCCTACCCTACACTGCCTGTGTGACTTTGGGCAAATCGTTGACCTTTTTGAGTTTCAGTGTCTTCATTTGTTTAATGATAAGACCAATATTATAGGCTTATCATCAGGACAAATTAAGTAATGTATGCAAAATTGCTTTGTAAGCTAGGATGTGCTCTAAATGTCACTGGTGTAGATCAAAGATAGTTACTGTTCAATTATTCCGAAGAGTGAACACTGTTAACCATCCATATTTCCTACCCTAGATCTCCTGACAAAATGGATTGATTGGGGTATACCAAGTATTACAGTCAACTCAATGATTAGGTTACCTCAATTAGGGCTTCCAAAACCAAAATCTAAACAGACATCTAAGTCTGTTTGTTAATCTGTTAATGAGGTGTGACTCTTAATTGTTGTTTATTAAATGTGAAGCTTATTTATTGCAGAATGTGGAGAAGCAGATCTGGAGGGAATCTTACCTAATTTCACTCTGCTTTCAATCAGGACTGTATTAAATGTGAATTAGCTCTGACAGATGGTTGCTGGATTCTGTTTCTAAATTTTTTAAAGAAGATTTCACAGTTTTTCTCTAATTTCTTTTAGTAATTTAACAATTCTTATGCTGAGTTCTTCCTTAGAGCTGACCCAAATCTTAGTTGTAATTTTAAGTCCTTTCCCCCCTCCTGTCATTACTGAAGATGGAGAACAGCTGGTCGGCAACCTTATGCTAATCATCCTTTGTATATTTAAAGAAGAGTTACTCAGTTCCACTCCCTCGCTCCACCCCCTCCCACCACCAAATTCATCAACTAGTATTCTCTGAATCATTCATGGTGATGACACCTATCTCCCGCCCCTCCCTCAGACACTTGGCTGTTTCAGGCAGCTGGGCAGAATGTGTTGTCACTGGCCACATGGACTTGGAGAGAATCTGGGCTGCTGCTTTCTTTCCTCTTTTATTTTGTTCATAATCTTTGGCCTTCTAATAAATGATCAGAATAACCCTTAACAGTGTTTGATGGAGTTTTGCAAGGATACTTATCATAGAATCCTTTGAAAGTTAGACCTCCCTGGTGACTTAGTGCACTCAGCCAGACATACCATTAAGCTGCTACTTTGCCTGCTAAAAATAACATTGATTGATATCTCTGATTTATTGGACTTAATCTTGGCAGACATTAAGCTGAAACTCTCCTGAGTGTAGTGTATGTTCAGAAGCACACTAAGAGTTTGAAAGAGTTAATGGTTTCCCCAGTGCTCTAAGTTGCAGTTGGGAATAAGTGACCATTGAGGAGAATTGAGCTCATTAAGGTTTTCCCATATAGTTTCAGAGTAGATCCTGTTTTTAATCTGAATGTGTGTGCTTTTGTGTCTCTATAGGTTTATTACCCAGAACTCTTTGTCTGGGTCAGTCAAGAACCATTTCCAAACAAGAACATGGACGGAAGGCTTCCTAAGGTAAGATCCCTAGATGCCATTTTGTTAACACTATTTTCAATATTGAAACAATTGTTTTAAAATATCAGAGCTTTTTCATTTTAATACCCATTATAGGCTGCTATAAGAATCCATCAATCTGATACTATGATGACCTTGGAAATAATGTGCTTTTAAAAAATATCATAAAGTCCTCTGACTTATAAAGTTCACATTATCTTCCTTTCTTCATAAATAAAAAATTTTCATTTAAAACATGGAATTAGTTTATCAAATGTACAATTTACAGGCTTTAAATCTGTTCCATTCCTGGTTAGACAAACTCAAATACAATGATCAAACTAAAAGATTTCTTAAAAGTGTAAGATGATGACATAATTGCCTGCTAATGAAGTCTGAAGGTCTGATAAGATTATCCATGAAGCAAAAGGGAAGACCAAAAAACTGTTACATGTCTTTCTTCTAATGTTTAAGCCTAAAAACCATTTTTTATAAACATGGTTTCATTGTTCTGACATCTTAGGTATGGCAGTTCTCTGCCTCAAAATTTGTAAAATTTATATTTTAGATTTTAGCATAATTTCTGAAACAAACAACAACTACTTACCAGTTTTTACTGTAGATACTGAACTTTGCCTCTTAGGGTAAATACTTATTTGACCTCAAGCAGGAAGAGTGTACTTTTTAATGACTTACTGATTTTGCAGTTAATAAAGAAAAACAGAATCCACTGAAAATAACATTTCTATTTGAAAGTTTCATAAGTGTAATTGATAATGGTGAGGCCTCCCCTAGCTATTACTGGTATTTCAATGTTTAAGAAATTATTTTATTTACACTCAATAGTCTCAACAATTCCCTATCTTATACTGGCAGGCAGAAACTGAAGAGGTTGTATCAACTGGCATTTTGCACTGAAAGAAAACAATCTTAAATCACTTTTAATCTTGCAGAGCATTTTTGAAGGTCAAGGTTGAAATCACTGGCAGAAAAGTAGGTGAATAAAATGGTTTGGCCCTGCCTGAACTAGACTTGCACTGATTTGTAGAGCTGGAGTGGAAGAGAGCTAAAATAGTAGCGCTTTCCTTAAAACACACCCACACCCCACCACCTCACCAACAGCACACCAGCGGCAGCAGCAGTATAACCGTAGACATTCATCACTGTGCCAGATCAGGGCATAATTCTCTTAAGGCAGCTGAGGGCAAGAAGTGAAAACAAAGCAAAGTATAGCCTTCGCATTAATTCTTGCCTCATTCAGGCATCCAAAGGTCCTCTCTTTGATACTGGTGACATAAACCAGAGGGGCACGACTAGGCACAGTTCCTTGATGAGCTCAGTGGTGCCTCCCCCTACTCTTAGAAAGCCAGCCCTGGTGTGCTACGTCTTGTCCTCCACAAAGACATGCTCCCAGGGGTGGGCACAGTGGATCATGGTATTCAGGTCTTCCGCTATCTTCTCTAAATATGTGAATAATATTTTAAGCATAGTGTATTTGTTCTTTTTCCAGAAGTTCCCTTCTGGAAAAGCATATCTTTGCATAATTGTAGGAAAAATAATCTTGACTTACTTGGACCAAAGCACATTATTAACTGGGGATTAATTTCCTAGTAGTCATCCGTCGAGAGGGCTGATCCACCCCGAGGCACTTTAACTGGCATGACTTCCAGGACGGCGGGGCTGTGGGAGCCAATGGACACATCTGCCCCCCAACCCCTAGCCTCTTGAATTACTCAAGTCCCTCAGTTCTGTTGGCACAAATATGTGCTGGATGATAGAACAACTGTTTTTTCCATGGATGGACTTTTTTTTTTGGCTTAAATTCTTATCAGGCCTGACTTCTGGATCTGGAGAAAGAAGACTTCTTTGTGTTCCATCTTCAAAATGCCTTCTCCACTTGTTGCAGAAGCCTAAAATTCCTTTAGTGGGGGCAGAAAGCCTATTATTATTATTTGTAAATAGTGGGAGGGTGTGTGGATTGAAATCAGTTGGGGGAAGAGGATTGAAATCTAGTAAATCCAAGACTCTATAGGGAGGATGCATAGAACTCTGTCTCCTCAGGAGCACCTCTCCCCACGGCCCTGTTGGGCTCTGGGCCCTCAGGTTGCTGCAGTAGCAGACCTCCCTGTGGGCCCTACTACCATTGTCTCGTCAGGGTCCAGTCTGTACACCTCCCTGTGGGCCCTACTGCCATTGCCTCGTCAGGGTCCAGTCTGTATGCCTGTCTTCCACACAGCAAGTTCATGAAGGGTGAGATGGGCAGGGACTGTTTTTGTTTCTGTTTCAATCTCTAAGCTTAAAATCGAATAGACTACTCCAGCCATAGTAGGCACTCAGAACATGAAAGTGAACAAAGAAATGTTTATTATCTGGCACCCTGAAACAGAAAAAATAGTAAAAATGGTAAATTCAAATCTGAAATAATCTTCACTTTCTTTTTTTCTGAAAGTGCCTCTTCCCAAATCCCTTGTTCTTCCTTTTGTTTTGTTGTGTATGTTTCATGGAGGTAGAAGATTAGTACCGAGACTAAGATTTAAATAGAGAGATACAGTAACGTTCTGTGTATTCACTTTTGAACAGAGTAAGTCTGAACAGGAGCAGTTTTAAGGCAAGCTGTGTGAAGAGTATAATTGTTGAGTTAACATTTATCAACTTTTGGTTTTCCTTCTTTTCTTGCCTGTGACAATTAACAGCCATTGAACTCTTCATTTGTCCAAAACCTATGTTTGTCCTATCCTGAACCATGGTAACTGTTTGACTGTGGGGTGAGATGGGGTTGGGCTGGCAGCATTATTTTAAAGACACTGGTATTACAGTGGATTTCCTTTTTCTTTAATTTTGGGATTGTGTACCAAGATTCCAAGATTGAAATTATTTTCAGAAATGCAAGTAACTACCCAATATTATGCTTTTGGAAATTGCATCTAGACTCTTAAGGGTGTGTGAATGGTGAATTATATTTTTATTTAATTTTCTGGTTTGGTCCCATTGGTATTTAATGATACCAAAACAACCTCTAAAATCACAACCTAAGATTGGAGTATTAAAGTACATAATGGTTATATATGTCCAAAAACTGTTGTATGCTCTCAAAGTCTGAGACTTTTAAGCAAAAAATTGAGGCATACCAGATGTTTAAATATGGAAAATTATACAGTAAGTAAGACTTTTTAAAGTTGAATTATCTGTTGCATTTAGTTCACCCCTGGGTTGCTGAAAATATTTATTCAATTTCAAGTTGTTTGGAAGTTACTGGCTTCTGAATTCTTAAAAAGAAATTTAGATGTGTTACTTTATAGGTCACAAAGTAAGATAATCACTCTAATCCAAGTACTTTACATCTAGTCAAATTGGCTTATTAAAATTGTCTTGTTAGAATATGTGACTTGAGCAGAAAAAAAAAAAACAAAAAAAGAAAACCCACATGTCTTTTAAAACCACAAAGGATATTTTTTTCCAAGAAAATGTCAGTAATTAAAACTCCAGAGTTCAGCTAAAAGAGAGACTATTGTCAAATATTCACTATGTTCATACCTGTACAGGGCATAAAATCCATCTGTTGTAAATTAATACCTTTATTATGCATCATGTGGGCAGGTGGGCTTCACTGTGCTGTGCTTCTGCTGTCTGGTTGTGATGGAGAGCTCCTCTCCACTGTTGGTGCTGCAGCAGTGTATCCAGGAAGCCACATGGCGGCAGATCAGCAGTCACACTGAGATTGAGTTATTCTAGTCAGAAACACAAAAACCTTACTCATCAGGATTGTGAGGAGAGACTTAGAATAGCCCCAGTCAGTTCTGGCCTTGGTTTCCCACTAGCCTCCTCTCTCCTACATCCGCTCTCTGGGCACCCTCACATTATTTCTCTCCCAGACACTTCCCATCTTTGGTACCCACTTCTGGCATGTACCGATTGCATGTAGAATAAGCCATACATAGATAAGATTTATGCAAGTTGGATATGTTTTTAAATATTTTTATTACATATTCAAAAATAGATTATTACTCTTCTTCATCACACCCTCTGGACTCTTTTTTTTTTTTTTTTAATTATCGACTGACCCTCCTGTGAGTATCTATCACCCAGTCTAAGGTTGGGCCCCATCTAATACTAGAAACTGTCCCAAGAAACCTGACACTGGGGAATGCTGCCTCACACATGGCTGGCACCACCATGACAGAAGCACTTCATTCTACTGAAGCAAAGGTGGCCAGTGTTTAATTACTTTATTTCCTCACAGACCTAATATTTACATTCAGGTGAACTGTGTTTAATATGTAAACTCTGTTTTGCAAAACAGCAAGAGTTCAAGGGTAAAATGTGGGCTGGGCAGGAAAAGCAAAATTTTAAAAAATGGTTTCAGAAGCATGACTAATTTTGTCTTTTGTGTGTGTGTGTCTGTGTGTGGGTCTGCCTGCTTTGCAGGGAAGACTTCCTGTCCCAAAGGAAGTGAACCGCAAGAAGAACGATGAGACAAACGCTGCCTCCCTGACTCCACTGGGCAGCAGTGAACTCCGCTCCCCAAGAATCAGTTACCTCCACTTTTTTTAATCGTAACACCTCCATTTGTATTACATATGGTGTATGGGTATTGATGAGGTCATGGTATCATATATGGGATTTTTTTCTGTGTAAATCATCAAGTATAAGAAGAAACTATGGGACTCTGAGCCTTGCTTTAGAGAATTTACAGTGGACAAATAGGTATCATCAAACCAGTTTTTAATCATTCTGACTCAAGTGAAAACGCTCAGAATTTCACACTGTGAATCCACGTTTACAACCCTTACAGGTGGGCCTTCAGGCCTGGTTCGCTACAACAATGTCTTCCACAACTCAAACTCCCACCGCGCTCACACAACCGGTCCACTCCTGCCTTTTCACTCACACAGCTCCCGACTGCTTCTTGCAGAGGCTGAGAGTCCCCCCTTTTTTTTTCATTTAGATGTAACAAACCTAGTAGTTTATGTTCATCAATTGTCTGTATATCTCTATATTTTATCCATGTACTCTTTTGATGTATAGAAGTAGTTTGAAACTCATTGTTTCCTTGTGGTAAGTGACCGAGATGCTGCCACAGGACCTGAGACACTGATGAATGGTGCTATTTTGGACTTTCAACATGCTCCTTGGCGAGGTAGCTCTGATGGAGTTATTTTTTATTTCCATGTTCTAAGAAGGTGTTGGTACTCTGTTTCCCTGAATGTTGTTCTCTAGACTGGATTGACTTGTATTCCTTGTGTCTTCAGTGTGGCTTTCTTCCTCAGTGTTGTAGGTTGAGCGAATGCTACCAGAGTGTGAGAGACGATTGTCTCGTTGACTGGCACTCACAGACATGCAGTCACGGTAGCGGGAGCAATCACAAAACTGTAATTTACTTACCAAATCTCTTCCTTTCCGTAGCCTCGCCTGCCTGACTTAGAGAAAGAAAAGCAATAATTTTACAGGCATTTTGAGGTGTCTCTTTGGGTTCTTTCTGTTTGAAAGGATACTTGTGGGAAAAAAGAGCAAAACCTTTTTAAATAAATTCCCCCCTGAAAAAAAACCCAAAACACTGGCATCTGAGTAGGAATATGAAAATGACACCTTTTCCAAATATTAAATTGGAAAACAATGTCTTTACAAAATCATAATGCTTTTTTAAAAGGCAGAGCACTCTTTTTTTGGCAATTTTGATAAGCAAGGTGTAGATTTACATTTTTGTCCTTGCTCCCAACGAAATGGATAAACAAAAATAAAATACCATCTACTCATGGAATGTTGTTGTGTTAGCCAGTCTGAAAGCCCACCTTAATTTTTATATAACTGTCTTTTAGCTCTTCTTTTGACAGGGCAGGCCTTGTTCTGAACTGTTTCGCTTCTGACTGTTAAACACCGATGACGCATGCACTGCACTTCTTCGTTTTCTTCTTGCTCCCCCATTGGCCTGAGTTTCTTGTGCATTCCTCCTCTCCCTCCTTCGTTAGACTAGGTATATCAGCTGTGTAAATAGAGCAAGAAAACAGTATTCTGCATCTGTGGCATTTATGTAGAGTTGCAGTTGTGTACTGCTGAAAATGCAGGCTTTTGTAACAATGTGATCTTTACTGATGCACTCATGACAAGTACCCAATGTATTTTAGCTATTTTAGTAGTATTTGTTCAATAAATATGCAAGCTGTAAGGTAACTGGCTGATTTGGCTCATCATTGAAGAGGACTAGTTTTGAATGCCTTCTCTGGTTCTTGCTAATTCGTGTGTTCCCAGAGTCCCAGAAGTCAGGCCAGCAAACCCAAGGGCAAATATCAAAAGAGAGAGAATCAGCTCTGCCTTTCATGCGTTTTCCCTTTTGAGGATTTTATGAGATTAGGGGCTAGGCAGTGGCTCATTAAGATGGTATTTGCAGAGCTGCCTCTGGACACAAAGGAGAATTAGACCAAGATCCTTTTATTTCTACACTTTTTCTCCCTTCCAAGGCATTCCCATACACTTCAGAACTTCCTCTTTCTCACTCCTTGCCATTAAGACCCACTGTGTGGTATTCTTTATCCCTGCCAAAAGAGATCTGACCTCACTTCATGATCATGGACTATTTGCACTTTCCTCAGACAAAAAGCTTAAACTTGTAAGAGGATAAAAATTTGAGACAGAATTTAAAGTCATTAAGACTTAATTCATGTGTACCCAGATACCTGGAACCTACCAGATGATAAGGTTATGGTGAGCAGAGCCTTCTAGAGGTCTCCTGTGACCCTGAAACCTGGCAGTTCAGGGGATTCGTGTACTCTCTGTGCATGAGAAATGTCTTCTGGTTTCTCCTCATCCATTCTGGGAGTGAAACTTTTTAACTTGGCTTGTACACAAGTTGCTTATTTGGCTGGTTGGGTTCAGATGACATTGGAGTTCCACCTCAACAGAGACTAAGGAACAGACCTCTGAGATAAAAGCAGAGAGAGAAAAAACAGCCAAAGGGAACATTTCCCCTGCAGTGGGAGCTCAGCCTCTGGAGGGTGGGCATCAGATTCTCTCTGAGAAATCTTGGGTCTTAATATGTGTGTTATGTCAGGAAGGACTTTTACATTTGGGGGTTACTGAGCTTAATTTGAAATTAATGCACATCTCAGATTTTGGTTCAGTTTCCTATTTACCCTCAACTTTTATTAAGAGAAAGGAGCCTTAGGGCAGAGCCAAATTCTAGCTGCTTACCAGATCGTTAGAATTTGTTCATTCTGAAGGAAAATTCTTAAAAATGACATACCACCACCATTTTGAGTATTAACCTCTGGATATAATAAGGGAAGTTCTCCTTCAATTTAATTACCTTTCTTTTTTAAAAATTTTTTATTAAAAAAAAACCCATCATCTGAAGACTTACTTGGGGCTGGAGAATCTGCTCCCAATACAGGTTAGTCCATGGCTGTTTGCAGGATGCCTCAGTTCTTCTACTCAGGAGCTTCTCCCTAGTGCTGCTTGAGTGTCCACATGACTTCTGGCTTCCTGAAGAGCAAGTAATTCAAGAGAAAGCTGAGAGCAAGCTAAAATGCTATGACCTATTCTCAGAAGTCACCATCATCTGTCATATTCTGTTCATTAGAAGCAAGTCGCTAAGTATAGCCCACACTCAAGGATGAAGGAAATTAGTTTCTACCTCCTAAAAGGAGGAATACCAAAGAATTTATAGACATGTTTTTAAATTAGCACATCATCTGAAGTTGAAGAGCTCAGGGTAATTATAGGTCAGAGTCTGGAAGTAAGAAGGGCTGAAACTAGCATCACAGCTACTTCTTTCTATTGAAAATTTTTTACAGTCCTTGGAAACGGCATATGAGGACAGCATCCAGGAACTATAATACTGGGATTACATAGCCTCCATTGGTTAATCCATGTTCGATTAGACCCAATAATAATATTGAGAGAATGTTATGAGAAGCTGTAAAAACAGGGGAGCTGGAATAAATGATGTTTAAAGTTCCATCCAACTCTATGGATTGTGGGGTTTGCTGATGACAATTCCTCAGCCTCCATAAAGCCTAAAGTAATAATTGACTCTGCACTTTAAACTTGAAAAACTCATGTGAGGATCCAGCAATGTTTTGTGAAGGGTTATAAGAACTGGAGAGATAGCTGGGCTCACTTCAGAAGACCCAAACTTTGATTCAAGACTGCTTTGTTCTCTCACCAGAGTCAAACATATCACCATGTTGCCTTTGGGAGGAGACGGCTAACAACCATTGAGCTGACATAACCTGGAGATTTGTTTTGCAATGTGTTGTATAACAATGTTGATTTAATTGCCTACATTTACAAATCAGGCGATTTTACATGAAAATCCAGGTAGAAAAGTGGAAAATATAGCAACAGTGGGATTGGAGGTGAATAGCTGCCTCCACCTGTGGATGAGGCACATCCTCTCTTTTATCAAACTCTCATCACCTCTTTTCTTATATCCTGTCTGCTTCATTGATTCATATCATCTGCTTGCCTCTGTTGGTATGGCAGTTAGCAACACTAATCTTCTGGTTTGGGGAGGATGGTGCTGCACTTATTTCCACCAACAAAGGCCCAGGGGACCTTTGGCACTCATTGTTTGATAGCAGGAACACTTGCAGGATGATGAACACCAGACTGGAATCAGAGGTTCCTCAATGCTACTCAAAACTTCTCTGCTGCAATTCCAACTCTACCTCTCTGGGCCCTCTTTAGAATCCTTTGATTATCCTCCTCCAGGGATTGAGATCACATGATAATCTTGGATTGGGTCAGGTTAATTTATATACAGGTATGATAAATTCATAATTTTCAAACTGAGATATGTGTACCTAAAGGTATGTGATGGCTTTTCACGGACTGCATGCTCAGGACAGTTTTCAAGAAATTAATTTCCAGATCCTCTATATACACTCTTTCCTTAAATTGATCTGTTGAGAATGAGTCTTTGTTCATACTGTTTCTTTTCCCACATAACAAAAAGATGCAGGGCTATCCATCCCATATCTTAATATAATACATTGCTCTTAATATGACACCAAAAACCTCGGATGTACCAAACAGAGGAAAGGTTTCTTTGATGATTAATCATAAAACCATAGAGCCTTGGGCTTTCACCTCTTATACACATGTTAAAGCTATGATGTTAGATAATATAGAAATTGGGGATTTGGACTCAAAAATAGATTTGCAGAATTCGGATATATGATAAAGTGGAGTAATGGTAACAATGACAATTTTTTTTATGGCTTTTTTTTTCTTTTCCTGATTCTTGTCAAAGAATTTATTGCTCTTGAGGGAGAGCCATGGGAGAGTGAAACAAAGAAGGCACTGAATGCCAAAAAATGTCTTCTTCATATAATTGTAATCAATTATTTCCACTATTGTCAGTATCCTTTGATGATAGGATGTATCTTGACTGGGAAAAAAAGTAACTTGGAAGAGCTAAAGCAGTATAGATTTGCCATGCTGATTATTTTAAATGTAACCAGAATGCCTTCTTGGAATGCCAAATTTTTAGAAGATGCAGTAGATAGAACCCAAGGATAAAAACTTTCACATGGTTCTTTCAGATCTGATGTGCATTCATTAATAAAGTTGTCAGAACCCATTGTATCAAACCATAACATGAAACATTTATTCAGTTATATTCTTGTCTTAGTCTGTTTTCTGTTGCTGTAACAAAACACCAGACTGGATAATTTATTTCAAAAAAGAAACATTCAGCTCATGGTTCTGGAGACTGGGAAGTCCAAGAACCTGGCACTGGAATTTGCTCAACATCTGGTGAGGGCCTTCTTGCTGCCTCAAATTGTGATAGAAGGGTGGAAGGGCAAAAAGTGCATTTCAACTCAGGTCTCTCCTCTTCTTATAAAGCCTTGGGTCCCATCATGGGGTCTACCCCATCAACATATGAATTTGAGGATTAATTTTTCAACATACAAAACTTGGGGAATACATTCAAACTATAGTTGTTTCTACCATTTTATCTTATAACATATTTCTTGTTTAATCATTCTCCAGAGCCAGTCAGCAGCATTCAATTTTACTAGAGATATACCATGCCTTTTATCATTTTCCTACTTTATATGCGAAATATATTGGTCATCTTGTTTTTATAACTTAAACATGGAAAAATCAATTATATTAGATCTTTATCTTAATTGTTTTTAGTGATCAGTTTCACAAGATATACTTTTAGTTCTCATTGATTTTTATAATATTCCTCAAAATAGCTATTTGAATTGAAAAATGAAAAACTTTTTCTGACAGAAAGTGTATCTGATTTGGCATACCAGTTTGACAGTGAAGATTGGCCCTGCCAATGAGGTTTTATGACAGATATTTTTCATAAACGAGCTAAATCTGCAACTCCAAATTAGTGGCAATACATTTAAAACAAGAAATAAGATCAAAGCATTTTATCAAAAAGCATTGTTTTGGCAAACGTGTAATAAAACTAAAAATTTGTTTGTTTTTCCTGCCATTTCTGGTGATATGGCTTTTAAAAGGTGGGCCTAAGTACAAGTGTTACAGCACAATTAACAATAATTTGATAAATCTTAGTAAAGCTCTCTTGGTGTACTTCCCAGAAATTGAGAAAGTAAATTATTCAAATTGCTGGAGAACAAATCTCTTTGCTAGTCAGGTGCTTCCTAGTTCACTGTTTAAAAGAAATGAAGGAGGACTTTATCAAATTGTCATGTGACTGAAGATTAAAAATATTTTCTAATAGACCATTATATAAATGTTGACATGTAACATAGAAGGAATTCAAAGAACTGAATTACATTGCTGTAATAAAACACTCTCAATTCCTTCAACTTACATCTATAAAAACAAAACAAAGAAGAAATATAATTGATACCCCGTATTTCAGCAGTAATGTTCATCTACAGATAAATGAACTAACTGAAAAAAGTTTATCATCTCATGAAAGGATGCATTTGCAATATAATTTTACTTTTTGTGTTTAATAATTAAGTTTATGTTTAATCAGTAGTGTATTGATACTTGCATAGATTTTTTTAATGTTCAGAGCTTTATGGTAACAAAATAAAAGTAAAAAATTGAATTTAGGCAGATAAATGTGATAGTGCAAGTAGTATTTTCAAACAAAATTATGTTACATTAAGGTAAAGTTCTTTGGAGGAAATTGAATAAAAATTTAATTTCGAGTAGAAAAAGAAAGTCAAATTTCT